AGCTAAGTGTAAAATGGCAAGCACACATAGTGTCTACGTGATAGGAAAAGCTGGATGGCCAAAAGTGCAACTTTGTCATCCCAGCAAAACCCTTGTGAGTATAAGGGTGCTAGATCACAAAGGAGTACCAGAAGCCATATAGAAGCTCTGTAGTGTGACACGACATTATGCAAGGTTGTGGGGACCAGTGTAGGTAACTATTGAGCTCATTGGTTTAAAGGACAAACACAAAGTATACTTGGCTGACATTGAAGACCAATGCTTATTATGGTTGGACTACTTACTACCGAGGAAGTGTGTAATCAACTTCGATAAAATGACGTTTGGGAACAACAAAGGCAAAATTCCTGTAAGTGTTGCCGCATCTGTTGATTTGCATGTCACAGCACTTAAATCAACTACAATATGTCAGCAAAGATAATTTGGGGTAGAATAAAAGAACATCCCCAAGGAAGCCGATGCTTGTGGAAGCAGTGAAAGACCCATCCAGGCCAGTGGATGTGAAGATTGGAAGGTCACTTGTGGCAGGTCATCAAGTAGTTCCCATAACAATGGCCAATTTCTCTAAAGCAGACACTTAAGGAAGGGACATTGTTGTGTGTGTGCCAGGAGGTAGCGCCAGTCAATGTTAAAGCAAGAAATACAACTATAAAGAAATACAACCATTAAGAAAGGACATCCTCTCCCAGAACATTTAACTGACCTCTTTAAGAAGAGTATAGTCCATTTGTGATCATCACAGGCTCTTCAGGTAAGGAAAGTTTTGGCGAATTATGCAGACGTCTTTTTGAAAGGAGATCATGACCTCGGCTGCACAGACCTCGTGGAGCACAGAATACACACAGGTAATCACCGTCCAATAAAGATCCCTCTGAGGAGAATAGCTCCAGCAAAGTGACAAGAGATGGAGAAGGTCATGGATGGCCTAATTAAGGAAGGGATAGTCGAAACATCGGATAGTCCCTGGTCAGCTCCTGTCGTGTTAGTGCAGAAGAAGGATGGGATCCAACGTTGCTGTGTGGACTTCAGGGCTCTTAATAGTATAACCGAAAAAGACTCGTACCCACTGCCAAGAATTGATGATACTCTTGATGCCCTAAGTGGAGCCAGGTGGTTTTCAACTCTGGACTTAAAGTCGGGTTTCCATCATGTGAAAATGGCTAAAGCAGATAAACCTAAGACTGCATTTAGTTATGGCCAAAGTCTCTGACAATACTGTGTGATGCCATTCGGGCTTAGCAATGCTCCAGTAACATTTGACAGGCTGATGGAAAGAGTACTGGAAGGCCTACAATGGAGGATAACCCTAGTGTACCTGGATGATGTCATTGTGTTTGCAACAACGTTTGATGAGGAAATGTCCCGTTAGAAGAAATATTCAAGCATTTGAAAGTAGCAAACCTCAAAACTCCATCCCAAGAAATGCACTTCTTCCAGAAAGAGGTGCTTTACTTGGGTCACATTGTAAGTGAGCATGGTGTGCAAACTGATCCTGACAAGGTGAAGGCAGTGTATGATTGGCCAACACCAGACAATGTGGGAGAGTTAAAAAGTTTCTTATTACCAGAAGTTTGTGAAGGACTTTGCAACTACATGATTTGACAAAAAAAGGCCAAAAGTTCGAATGGACAGTTTCTTGCCAGCATGCTTTCAAGACATTGAAAGAAAAATTGGACTCAGCTCCACTTTTAAGGCTTCCAAATCCCTCACTGCCATACATACTGGATTGTGATGCTAATAATGTCGGAATTGGAGGAGTGCTGTCTCAAAAAGTGGGTGAAAACGAACATGTGGTGGCCTACTTCAGTAGGGTCCTGAGTCGACCAGAGAGGAACTATTGTTTAACACGGAGGGAACTCCTTGCTATAGTAAAGAGTCTGACATATTTCCATCCTTACCTCTATTGTGCCAGGTTTACCATCATGACAGACCATGCTGTGTTACGCTCGTTAAGATCATTAAAGAACCCAGAGGGACAATGGGCACGTTGGATCAGAAAGATAGACCAGTATAATTATGATATTGAATACAAAGAAGGAAAAGCTTATGGAAATGTCGATGGACTGAGCCGAAGACCTTGCAAAAATAACTGCTAACATTGCTGTAAAAGAGAGGTTGAGCTAACCAGGTACTATAAAGCTGAAGTCAAAGTGACTGAAGGAGTTGATGATGGTGAAGTGGAATCAGGTATAGATATTAAATCAGAGCAGGAGAAAGACCAAGATTTGAAGCCAATAATTGATTTTCTAAAAGCAAGTGTTTTGCACCCTGCTTGGGAGAAGGTGTCTAGTCTAAGCCCTGTGACAAAGAACTATTGGGCACAATGGGACCAGTTGAAGCTTGAAGATGGTATTCTTCTCCTGAGATGGGAAACTGCAGATGGGACGACCTGGCAAACAGTTATACCGAGAAAGTATACGGGAAGTTGTGCTGCGTCAATCCCATCATACTTTAACAGGAGGACATCTCGGAGTTGAGAAGACATTGAGTCACCTACGACACACATTTTACTGGATAGGTATGAGACAAGATACAACATGTACTGCATGTTCTGCACCATTCTTCCAGGCTAAAAGGAGACCCAAGCATAAGGGACGTGCTCCAATGAAGTTATGTCAAGTTGGTGCACCAATGGAAAGAGCAGCCGTCGACATTGCTGGTCTTCTGCCATAAACTCGTGCTGGAAACAAGTACATTTGTGTAGTGATGGATTATTTCACCAAGTGGCCTGAGACATATGCAATACCAAATGAGGAAGCTACAACTGTAGCTTCGGCTATTAGTGATTTCTTCTTCAGATTTGGTATGCCATATGAACTGCATTCCGATCCAGGCCGTAACTTTGAATCAGCTGTGTTCCAAGAATGCTGCAAGTTGTTTGTCATCCGAAAGACCAGGACATCGCCACTTCATCCAAGTCATCGAATCTGCTGTATTGTAAAAGGAACTTCAATCAAAACAAAGACACTGGACACTGGGACAGGAATATGCAAAGTTTTGTAATAGCCACCAAGATGACTGGGATGTCTTACTCCCTCCACTGTTGATGGCCTATAAGACAGCAGAGCATGAAACCACTGGATACACTCCAGCAAAGTTGATGTTTGGTCGAGATCTTCGGTTGCCAGTACATCTGTTAACAGGACGCCCACCTTATGAAGAGTTGCCTGATAATGTGTCAGATATTGTGAAAGTGTTATCGGAAAGGATGGATGATATTCACC